TTACTACATGTGGTATTTACAAGTTTTTGCATACTGTTGTCTCATGGCGAGTTGCTTAAAAATTTCATCTACTGCATCATTCGGTTGTGATACAAAATTTTCATTTTCAAGTGAATATAAAAAATGTGTTCTTACTTTATACAAATTTAGCTGCATATTAAAAATTTGTGTCTCAGGCATAGTTGTTAATAGTCGATGAATATAAGATTTATTATGTTCGAGCATCGATTCACTGAATCTTATTGAAAATTGTTGCCATGGTAAATTTGAAGTAAATGGCAGTTCCCATTGATCCGATATAATCACTGGTATACAGTTGGCTGCTATAACATCGAATAAACGTTTACTTGATGCACTATCACCCAGTAGAATAAAACAAAACGTACTCTGCAAATATTTTCGAAATAGTTGAGAATTGGCATTACGAGATGTTGAACTGATTTCGTGAAATAGTGACGAGTTATTCATTTGTTTCATTAGTTCTTTTAAATGACGACGATTTTGTCTTACACTACCAGCAAAATACGTCAAAAATGGTCTTGAAAGTGAGCCATATTCATTTTGATACTGATCAGCAAACGCTATTGAACAGAATACGTTTGTGCATGGTTCGACTATAGTCGACGAGATATTCATCACTAACAATTTTTGTTGTAATTGACGATAGATCACAGTACCAGCTATATGAAGGTCCCCAGTGACTAGATAGGGTATTGGAATATTTTTTAGTATTTTTGACGAGACACTCGACGAATAGCGTGGAGTCATTTCGATGGCAAGCCATATAAGATTTTGAGCTAGACCATCGAGTGCATTCCATACATAAGAAGAATCCCACTGTTGAAATGGACGAGAAGCAACAAACAAATGATCACATAAATTATGACGATATAAATATTTTTTGTATGTGGATGGCAATGGGTGCTCTTGATTCGAAGAGTTTTTATCTAGTAAAGCTTGTTGATCGACATAGTCGAAAAAGTTTTCGATTTCGGCTGAATCTCTTAAAACAGCATTCAGCTTGCTGGCAGCTACTTTGAATAATGGCTGTGTCATGTTAGTTATATCTGAAAACCATGTTAAATAAAATCCATAAGCGGGTAGGAAGAAGAATGTTGCTTGCTCAGGATCAAGCGTTCGACATGGATGTTTTTCAAATTGCCAGTGAAGAGCAATTTCAGATGTAAATTGTGCCATGTTTGCATCAGGATTAAATATCGATGGTGTGGTAATGTTAGGACCAGTATGCCATGTCCCACTACGATCATGAACAGGTATTTGAAAATAAGGGATGATTTGAGAATTGAAAATGGATGGTAGTGGATAAATAAATAGACGAAATGGATA